CGCCGGGCTGTACCCGGCCTCGTTGATTTCCACCGTCGGCCGACCGGCGGCGTTCCTGTCCGGCACGATGTAGGCCACGAGTTGTCGCTCCAAACCGTCGCCATGAGCGACAACTGCACAGTGGCCGACCGCGAGATTCTTGACAATCTCGCTTTCGACCTTGGCAGGCACCACGGAATATCCTCGCAGCTTGATCATGGATCCCACGCGACCGGTAATTTCGAGTAGTCCAGAAGGCAGCAGCCGGGCCAAATCGCCGGTGCGATAAAGGCGGGATCCGGGTTGTGTATCGAAGCGGTTGGGAGTGAACGCTTTGGCGGTCGTTTCGGGCAGATTGAGGTATCCACGGGCGAGCAGTGGGCCTGCCACGAAGAGCTCTCCACTGACTCCCGTATCGACCGGTTGGCCACTCTCGTCCAGAATGTAAATCTGCTTTGGATCTAGAGGCGGACCCACCGGGCAGTATGTCGCTTCCTCGTCAATGATCTTCCGAATATCACCACAGGCGATCTCATGTGTCTCGCATGCACTGTAGCAGTTGAGAAGACGGGTTTGCGGGAGAGCCTTGATCGCGCGACGAGCCAGATCCGTCGTGACCACTTCACCATTCAGCCACAGCGTGCGGAGCTCGGGAAGACGTTCATCAATGTGGGGATGACGCTGCAGCACGGTCGCCAGCAACGTGGGCGTCATCAGGGTCTCTGTGATCTTTCTCGCGGCCAGCAAGTCGACTAATGCTGCGGGATCATAGCTCGCATCGTCCGGCACTGTCACGACGGTGGCTCCCCGTAACAGAGGCCGCAGGATCTCCCAGATGAAGAAGACATTGCAGGCCACACGGTCGCCGGGCTGCAGGTCCTGAACCCCGAATCGCAAATCATACGAAAGCACCGGAGCTCGGTGAGGGTTAGCGATACCCTTGGGCTTGCCTGTAGTGCCAGAAGAGTAGGAGACAAATGCCAGCCGGTCCAAGTCATCGTCCGCTGGCAGAGGAGCCGGCTCGGTCGCGTGACCATTTGCATGGGCGGCGGGCTCATCCAGGACGATCAATGGCACCTTGCTCTTGATCTTGCCCACTTCCGCCCGGTGCGTGATCACGACGGCCGGGTTACCGTCCTCAATCACGTCCGCCAGCAGCTCCGGTGGGTAGGCCAGCTCCAGTACGAGAAAGGCACCGCCCGCACGCAAGGCTGCCAAACAGGCAATCACATAGTCGGCACTCCTTGGCAACAGCACGCCCACCAGAGTATCTCGACTCACGCCATATGTACGCAGGCGACGAGAGAGGCAGTCGACCTCGCGATCGAGCTCCGCGTATGTGAAAGTGGTCTTGTCATCCTCCAGGGCTACCGCGTTGGGGGTCGCTTTGACTTGGCGAGAGAATAGGGCCGATAGGTCTTTTGAGGTATCGAGGAAGGGCATGATTTCGTTATGTTGGGAGAGAATGTGGGCGCATGAGAGGGAGGGAAGAGGCGAGAGAGGAGGTGGAGCTCGGGGGGTATTCAAAGGGACTGGGCAGGCATGCGTTGTCAGCTCGATGCATTCATCGGTAGGATTGCATTACACTGCAGACTCACCGGCAGGTTGGTGAAGGAATAAGAGAAGAGCTTTCTTCTCACAAGGGAGGATCAAAGTGGTGTTGTTGATTAAGTACTGAAAGTAGTGAAAGAAAATTGGCGAGCGGTGGAGGGAAGAAGGGAACTTCCATGAATCCTGGCATAACCGGTTTGGGTTAGTCTTCCCAACACCCTACATCCATCATCCATCATCCATCACCATGGATCCATCGATCGTATTGCCAGAAGGATAGGATAGCCATGGCTCGCCAGCACCGTACGTGTTCATCGCAGCAGGGTACCGATGCTGAGCCGTGGATGGCATAAAGTTTCCGCCAGGTACTTATAACTCCAGCTACTTATAGAAATGAATTATGGTGGTATATACGGTAGCAAATGACGGTAAATTGTCCCCTGTCGTGCATGCATCGGTGGCGGGAATTCCCCTCTTTCCTCTTCTCTCTTCCCTTCTCTTCCCTTCTCTGGTTTCCCCCCTCTTTTGTCGAGTCACCTGACCGGTACCCAGTGCCACAGTGGCTGGTCTCTCCGCATTGCTGGTTCTTGCTGGTTCTTGCTGGTTGGGGGCCAAGCGGTTCCGCCCGACCTCCGTCTTATTATCGTCGGCTATCGATTGGTCAACAGAGCTGACAGGTGGAGTTCCTGACATGTGATTGCGGGTCAACTGTTGGTCCGGGCTCGCAATCACATGCCTGCGGCTGTTTTGTTGAGAGTCGACTACGACCCGACGAAAGCTGATGCTGCAGCAGTTGACTCTACTCTAGCCACATCATTAGTTTTCTCAGCCTCGATCATGATCACATGTCTGCTTGCCTAGATTACTCACCGCCTTGGATTTCGTTGAGATCACGATCGAAAACTGTGCCATGGACACACCTGTGGCACCGGCTACCTGGCTAGGCCCTCGAAGGGAAAGACGGCGGGGCGGTAGCTCTATCCCTGATTAGGAAGGTACCCTGAGATTTCCCATACAAAAACAACTGCCGGTGCAAAGCAGCAGCCACGCGTGGCCCTCGCTGCCCACAAACCTCGCAGGTTTCCCACGCATCATCCCACATGATTGGAAATCCACGATTAATGATTTCGACGAAAGTTCGACAAGGATTTCACATAATGATGGCCACACTGCATCCTGGTATGGCTGCCGCCCCGGACCTCGTAACTGAGAGACAGAGGCTGTCACCGCCTTGAAGTCATGTGACTGCGCATGCGGCATCGTTGGGCTCCCGTAGCCCAGATCCTCCTTCGCTTGGTTATCTATCTCCGAGTCTTTTGACAGCTTTTCGTACCTGGTCTCAAATGACAGGGGCACTGGTTCAACTACTCGTGGCATCTTGCATGACTTACCAAATTAACTCGACGACTTCCGACAGTCTATCCTCCACAGCAGATAAAAAAGGCACCGGCTTACAGATGGATTATGCACCAACTGAACGGCTATACCGGCCGCTCTTAAGGACTAGCGCGGGGCATGAGCGTCTTCCAGCCATCAGCCACATAAAAGCTTGCAATCTCGAGCCAGATACCGCCAAGCGGAAGTACTGTACCAAGATCTGTACCAGCACCGACGGATTACCCACATGGAGAACCACGATGGCTTCATCGAGCACGAGCACGAGGTGGAAGAACTAAGGGACTCATCGCATATTGTTGTTCCCGCCGTTTCGACGATCGTTGCTTTCACAGGGGGTGAAATAGACCCCTTCCGAACCTATCCTTCCACACTGCCCTCGGACATCGTCAGCAATTGCTTGCAGTATCGTACGTATCCCACATTACAGATCCTCAAAACTCTACTCCCCACTTATCTTGGCTGTAGGATTGAGCATCATGACCCCTCGAATGATCCCGAGTTCGGGAGCCAAGAATCCTTATCTGGATGCTTGGCTGCCCGTCTCACTGGAGAACCCAGCTCTGTTCAATGCTCTGCTGTTCTCAGCTGTCACGCATAGGCTCACACATTGCCTCGTGAATCAAAAGAGCACACCGACCTCCATGGTCCTAGAGAACAAACACTTATTAATGTTATGTCAGCAAGAGGCAGCGACGAGAGCGAACAGAGCGCTCCAGCATGCTGCGACTGCAGTAACAGACGCGAGCATCTTGGCTGTCCTAATGTTAACTGAAGCGGTGGATCATGCCTTCCAGGGTCGAGACTGGACCGGCCCCTCGCCATTTAATGCACCGCTACAAGGCCTACAATGGCTCAATATTCACGGGGCCCGTGTACCGCACATGTCTCATCAGGCGGGTCTTTGCAAGCTCGTGGCGCTGAAGGGCGGCCTACAGAGGATTAAGATTCCGGGAGCATCCTTGGCGATTTTCTAGTAGGGCCCGGATCCTGCTTTGGCAGAAGTTTCGCTAATCCTGGACTCAGTCGGACCTTGGTGAACTCCACTTTGACCTTGACCAAGCCCCAGATTCCATTCTATTCCAACCGCGGGCATGATAATTCCGACTGGCGATTTCACTTTAGTTCGTCCGGGGGGTGGTGGGACCATGGGGTACAGAAGTTTGAAAATGCTGGCCTGCCGTTCTCTCTCGCTTGCGTGTTGCAGGGGTTCGTCATGTACTCCAGCATGGTCCACGCATATGTGAACGGCGATAACGCACCACATGATACAAGCTTGTTGTGCGACATCCGGAATCTGGTCCACTTCCATGTCATGTCGCTGCCCACAGGAGCGGAAAACGACGATACAGAATTGTACCCCGGGTACGAAGCCTGCAGGCTTGCCTTGCTCATTTACAGTGTTGGGGTTATTTTCCCCATACCCGCAGTCGGTTCGCCACTTCCCCGGCTCGCGGGGCTTTTACGCCATGAGTTGAGCGACGAATTTCCATTCGATCAATATACCATCGAAGCGGACAATGGGCTTTCAGTCTGGCTCCTTACGATCGGTGGCATTGCCGCGCAGTACACCACCGAAAGATTGTGGTTCGCACAGAAGCTTGCGACCCTCGTCAGTCTTACCTCAATATCGAGCTGGCGTTCTCTCCGGGCGCAGCTTAAGGCCTTCCCTTGGTTAGACTGTGCCTGCGACAATGCCGGTGAAAGGCTCTGGGAGGAGGCCCAGCGGTTCAACTCCCCGCCCTCCTTTTCAGACGCTCCAGGTACCCATCGCTACACGACGAGGCTCCAACCCTGTCTCCATTGCCGCCGACGAAGAGTGAAATGTGACAAGCAGCAACCATGTCAGAACTGTGTCAAGCATAATCTTACCTGCAAATACACGACTGCGACACTTGAGGAGCAGAATGAACCTTCAACTACAGGGATGACACATGCCTGCGGCGTGTGTCGCCAGCGAAAAGTCAGATGTGATGGACAGAGACCTTGTAAAGGATGCCAGAAACTGCAAGTATCTTGTTCAAGGTAAAGACGCTACGCCTCTCGCACAACTAGCTGAATACATACTGCTTGCTTCAGAGAATGGAGCTGAAGTCGGTTCGCTTGCAGTACTCCTTAAAGGAGGTCATCTTGATGTCGAACTATGTTCTGTTAGCACATTGTCATGTTCTCATGCTCCGGGCCAACGCAATTCGCTTACCTGCGAAGGTCGGACAACCGTGGGATCACCCCCGTCATAGCCGAACTGTTGCGCGAAAAGCACGTTCTCCCCAAATTCCCGACCGAGCCCACCAGGAAGGAGATTCTCGAAGGACTCAATTGTGTGCTCTTCGTAGCCACCATTTGGTACTCCCTGCGACTGGCACCAGATGTCGATATACGCGTCCCATGACAGAAATTCCCCAACAGCCAAAAGGTTCAAGCCGGGAGGTCCATCCGCTACCGCCCTAACACATTGCCCGAAATCGTTCTGCACGTCCCCAAAGGGGACCGGAATGATGGCCGGACCAACCCCAGAGATGCGATACGAGCCGTCCGTTTGCTAGAAAAGGGTGTTAACTCATGTTAAGTCATTGCGGACAAATGATGACCCAACCTTTTTCGGTGTCGTCGGAAGACCCCATTGCCAAAGAAGGTTGAAGTAGATCGGTGCCTGGATCTGCGAGAAGCGGTCTTTCAATCCTGGCAGACTTCGAATATGGTCAACCACTACCGCTTTCGAGTCCATGTGGTAGACTCTGGGGAATTTTCCTTTGCTCCACTTGTTGGCGGACGCCATGGAACTAAAGACAAAGCGTTCTAGTGTCGGAATCCGGGCAGCGACATCCGCCAGATTCTTCCCCTGCTGGACCTCTACTTCAAAGCAGTATTCTGTGAGGTCCTGGTCCGGTCGTTTCTTGGTCATGCTTCCCCCGTCTTGGAAGATTGTCCAGAAGTCAGTCACGCCGAAGATGATGGTTGCATTCTGGAATGCGGCCTCCAGGCTGTCAGGGTAATTCAGGTCTCCGTAGACGATCTCGACGCCTCGGGCCTGTAATTCTATGGCTTTGGCAGACGATGGGTTGCGGGTGACACCACGGACCCTCCATCCCGGAAGCTGGAGATATGTGCTTGCGACAGAGCCTCCCTATAGATCATAAGTAGGATGCATCACATTGATGAGGAGAATACTTGCCTGAACTCCCGTGACACCTGTGATAACAATCAACTTAGACATCTCAACACGTCCTTTGGGATTTTATTGTGGGTATTGATATGGAGCTGGGGTTTTTTTGGAAGGTGGATGACCCTTTATCCATTATTGCGAGGTCAAGCAGATTCTTATAGCATTGAGGCATGACTCTGCTATCAGTTTTCTCGAGCCACAAGCTCCTAAGACACTCCAAAAGTTGTTTCCTTTCGTACCAACCTGGCGGGATTGGTAATCAGGGATAGTTCCCAGTTGCAAGAGCCTCAAGCGCTTGCATCTGCATGAATCTGAAACACCGCAACCTCGTATCTCACAATCCGCTGATGAAGCATGCATACCCACGAATGTGCTGTGATTGGTTGCGCGGCGCCGCTCGCCGAGCTCGGCGAAGCTAGTCCTTACTAGGAAAGCGACCCCGATGGCCGGGGCGCTCCCGTCCCGTCCGACCCCGATCTAATCTACATCTCCATCAGCGCTTCGGCTACGGCTGAGGTAGATCTCACGAAACTTACTAATACTCTTGTGGGCATGGATTTCCAAGCATCATCTTGCTAAGCAGCAAGAATGCATGATGTCAGAGATCCTGTGCGACTCTTGTTGGGACTGATATCTATAAAGAGCTTACCGATGACCGGCCCAATGCCACTTCTCTCATCATCGCACAGCACAATCCACCACTGCAAAACATATCAGACCTCCATTCCAATCAATCACGTCTCATCTCAAGCTCAAACCACCTAAGGACCTCCAAAATGTCTCTTCAAGCCTCTCTCCAAAGCGCCTACGCCGACTTCCAAAAGGCGGCCCCAGCCCCCGTCATCGACACCTTCAACTCCGGCGTGCAAGCCCTGCAAGACTCCTTCGACGCCAGCAAGGCCATCCAGCCCGGCCAGAAGCTGCCGGAGTTTACCCTCCAAGATGCCACTGGCAACGCCGTCACCAGCGCCAGCCTCCTAGCCAAGGGCCCCCTCCTCCTCTCCTTCTACCGCGGCGAATGGTGCCCCTTCTGCAACCTCGAGCTGCGCGCTCTGCAATCCCGCCTGCCTGAGTTTACGGCCGCAGGCGTCACCCTGGCTGCTGTCTCCCCGCACCTCCCGGATACCTCGCTGTCCGTGGCGGAGAAGCACGCTCTCGAGTTCCCTGTGCTCTCGGACGTGGGGAACCAGCTCGCCCGCCAGCTGGGGATCGTGTGGAAGCAGCCCGAGGCGTTCGGCCCGATCCTGGCCGGCTTCGGGGTCGATTGGGAGAAGAAGTACGGAAATCAGAGCCTGGAAGTGCCGATCCCCGCGACCGTGCTCGTGGGTGCGGATGGGGTGGTGCGCAATGTGTTTTTGGACCCGGACTACACGAAGCGGTTGGAGCCGGAGGCCGCGCTGGAGTGGGTTCGCGCTCTTTAGGGGTGTTACTTTGTGGATTGGTGGATAGTAGACGTTTTCAGCTCGATAGAAGTGATTTGATTTGTGTCTAGGTCAATCTTATGGAATTCTGTCTCGCGTTCCTCGCTCTACTTTTTCTCATTGCGGTAGAATCCGTAGAATGAACCTCCATGTGAGATGTGTGGAATGTGATGCCACTAGCCACTAATCACTCCAGAATCGCCGAGCCCTCATCATTATCGCCCTCCTTCAGCCCTAGATACGCAGCCACTATCAGACTTGTACTTGCCCCGCATGGTATGATCTCGTAGTAAAGCCTCGAAGCCTACCGTCAACATACTGGAGGCCCAGCCCATTGCTGTAAAAGTCACTATTGCAACTTCGGATAGATAAATGTTGCATACAACAATAATACCTGTTCATACTATTGCTTATGGCGCTCTAAGTGTCAGAGCAACAATGTAACTGAGAGATTTTGACAATTCCATAGCTAGATCGATTCTGACACCGCAAAATCCAGGCCAGCCCCCTCACCAGACCACAACTTGATTCAATCGATGCAACCTACCTGCATAAATACGAGTCATATGGAAAAAAAGCAATAGAGTGAAGTGTCGGGTACGCCGAAGGGTTCGTGGTCGATGGTCTCCTTCGCTGACGGAGACGGAGCCGGATTGCGCTTACTTGGGCTAGCTGCGCCGAGCTCGGCGAGCCCCGCGGAACCCACGCAGGAACATCGTCCAGTTTGTGTTTCGGATATCAGCCTCTTTCTAGGTAGTCTAGCTGAAGAACTGCAGCTAATTGTCTCGATTCACGAGGCTAAGCCGAGCGGGGATGGTATAAGCTTACCAAGCCGATTGCTTAGAGATTCGCGTGGGGCTGCTCACTGTGACCGACCCAATCATACCCTATCTCGGCTCCGAAGGGTCCAGCTGAATCTACTCGACTTTGAGACCTATACGAAGTATGCATGTTCTGACTCGTGTGGGTGTTATGTCTCTGAGGCTGAAGAAAGGAGATTCCGACCGGATTGATTCTTCAGGCAAAGGCAACCAGACTGAGATACAAGCAGAGGCTTTGTGGAAAACTATATAAAGTCTCTCTCGACCAGACCAGCTCTTTCTCCCATCACACTCGACAAGCCAATTCTCCTCACAACTCAACACAACAGTTGCCTATCTGCAATCTCCATCCTCATCTTCTCCACAATGAAGTCCATCGCAGCCGCCGCCACTCTCCTCAGTCTCCTGCACGGAGCCACCGCCTCCATCACCTGGGGCACCATGTGCACCGGCACCGAGTTCACGGGCACCTGCACAAACTACCAGAGCACCAACGTGAACCAATGCAGTATGTTCTCACCTCCCCCCTGGCCCTCATCTAGTCAACTCAAGGGATGGTACTGACATCTGAAAAAGTCTCTTTCGCCGGCAAAGATGCGAGCTGGAATGATAAGGTCCAGTCCGTCAGCGTGTGGGATGGCAATGTCTGCACCTTCTGGATGTAAGTGTTCCCGGTCACTAGGAGAAGAATGGCTATCGTGTATGACAGGAACTGATATCTCTCTAGTGATGTTGGCTGCAGCGGCTCCAGCAGCGGAGCGCTGGAGGGAGCGTTTGCCACCATCGGCCAGCCTAAGCAGTGGAGTTCGTTTGCCTGCAACTATGCCTAAGCGTGGATTTTCGACGAGCCTGTAGACCTGCTGCGTTTGTGAGCTTAGAAAGATGTACGGGAAGGAGGTTGTTGAGGGACTGCTTAGCTTATTCAACATAGGCGGGTTCGGTTCTTTACAGACGAAGGGTAAGGTGACGAGGGAGGCTAGTGTTGTTTTGTTTTAGGTTGATACATGCAACTCAATGGTGTCCTGCCTTCTTGATGTGTTGAGTTGCTTATGTGCGCTAGCTCCATATAACAATTAGGTAGCCGAACACAAAGACATTGTTTCAACTGAGCAGGTGATGTCATCCAAATAAAGCTTAAGTCAGTCATTGTCGGGACACCTCACGGCCGTCTTGCATTGTCTACCCCAAGAACGAGACTTTAGCACCTTTAGCACTGGGCCGAGAGTTCTGCAACATAACGACCCCAACATGTAACTTGGCATCTGGTTTTTTGAGGCCCCACAACCCAACAATTTCCCCTCGGGGCAAGTCTCCTTCTTTGTTCTGCGCATTCCCCGCTGCACGGCGGTAATGCGATGTATACCTGCGTTGTAGAAAGTCGACATCCTCATGGTCCGTTCTGCCCGTCATAGAGGGTAAGTTCCTCTTCGCGGATGGCGTGGCGATAAGGGCGCGTCGAGTCTTCGCATGTTCACCCCGTTTGATGAAATGGAACTGGTTCTCCATGTTAGTGGGAGTTCCATATCTTCCCAAATGAGAGACGGGCAAAGGGAAACCAGGCCAAGCTGCCATATCACTTACAGTGATTTGCAGGAGGCCAGTCCAGTCCCTGATCAAGGACATCCTTTGGACATCTTCGTCCGCAGAAAGTCGCACAGAGCGAAGGGCCTGTCCAGCCGCCACGTCGCCTATATCCCGAACAGCACCGGACTTATATGAGAATCTCAGGCCAGTGATGTAATTCTCCTTATTCAAGCTGCGATACCCAGCTATGGAGACCAGATGATCCGTTCCATTGTCTCCCGCCCAGAGTGCCCTTTGGGGAGCGGCCCAGGGCCGTGTCTTGAGGGTATGGCACGGGTCCCAGCAAACCATCTTCTGACTCGGCGATTTGGGACTCCGGATTACTCGTGGAAAGTCCCACGCATCGTTGAATACCCAGACAAGGCACGACTGTGAGGGGTATCGGTCAATTTTATTGAAACCTATGAATTGCAAGGCAACAGAGGCGGAGAAGCGCGCTTACCAGTTCCTCGAGGTGGTTTTCTTCAAACCGCAAGATAGTATGCTCGTGGGCTGGTAGCGGGGGTCCTTCCGGATACACCACCGTCTGGACGGAAGTAGTTATCATGATGCGAATGACTCGGCCCATGAAGAACTCCTGGCTCAAGGATATCTGACCGTTTGAGAGCCATATTGTGATTCCTGTGATCATCTCTCCGGGCTCAAGGGTGATCGACGCAGACTCAGAGATCCACTGACCGACAATCGAGTCGGGAGATTCGAAGTACTCTAACCATACTCCGGAAATCTCATTGGAGAACCGCGGGCGCTCGAGATCTCCGCTCGAGAATTTTATACACTTGACCGATTTCAAACTCGCAGATGTAAAGGCTCTACAACAATTGGATCTTTCTGTGATGATATATGAGCCTAGAGTTGAGGCTAGGCATGCGGCAGTTGAGACAGGGAGGTGAGAAACCGCGCCCGTGACCCGCGTTTCATACGGTCGTGGGGTTTCTTCACACTGTAATCCAAACCCGCAGAACGAGTGTTGTGAAGCCTGAACATGTCTCAGCGGACGGATTCGTCATGTTTCCCGGGGGTAGAACTTACCTCCAGGGTGGCAATGAATCCAGTAATGCGCTGCCCGATGGGCGCTTGCATTTCCTTGATAGTCATTTCCTTACCTTCAATGAGAGGATTCGAGCGAGAGTCATATGAATGCACTGTTAGCCGATAGTCCGACACTTCAGCGCGGCTCAGCTCATCCCAACCGGCGATAAGCTCTTTTCCAAGGTTTGTGCACATCTAGCTCACGTCAGTCTCAGTGGAATGCCGAGCGAAGAGATGCGAGCACCCAAAGTAGCAGGATCCGGCTATCCTTGGTGGACTTCGCGACTGTGACACCTGTGACATACTCCCCACCGGGTCCATCAATCAACAAAGATACTTCCATCAAGCCCCGTCGACCGAAGTTGGTAGAGGTCCGGTTATCAAAATAGAAGGTGAATCCTACAATGGGTGCCGAGTCATTGAGGATATGGGTCACTATCCTTGTGAGTTGCGGAAGCTTCTCCCCGTTGGAACCCGCGAAATCAATATTCAGCATACGGTTGTACCCTTGCAATGCTGGCTGCAGTTTAGGAACGAGGGATACGGCTTCTCTTGGATAGGTGGGCGTCCACATTGGTTGGAGTGCGAAACTATTGTCGTTTTCCGAAACGGTGTCACTGGCTTCGGTAAATCCCAAGGCGATCAATTTGAATGCCTTGCGTGCCATCGATCAGTAGACACATCGACTATGCGGCAGTCGGACTTACATCAAACTTAGCGACCAGTCGGATTCGTCGTGCTTTCATGGCGCCGAAGTTCAGCTTTCCCAACGCGATATCGGCCCGGTCCGTCTCTTGACCTCGCACCCACTGCGGCGGACATGCACCGTGGTCGCTTCCTTCAACGAGCACTCTTAGATTGGTGATGCCTCGGGAACAGACTTCTAGTTCAAATCCTGTTACACAAACGGACGGGGCAATTTGGATCAAATGGCCCGCGTTGGGTGGCGTAAATCCCAGAGCGATGTCGGAAAGCGCATGAGTAGAAAGGTTCAGAAGTTCAAATTCCAGACCGGAGATGAAATACTGCAAGTTAAAGTAAACCACATAAACACGAATGGCCTTGACAGTGAAGTCGTTCAAAGGTAAAATGACGGTCCTATCGTGGAGCCTCAGACTTCCTACAGAAAGTAGCCGGTGAGAGTCCTCCGACACTTGGGCGCTGAGCATTTCACCGTGTGTCTTATTTTCAGTAGTTGTATTGGCGCTATGAGACAGACCTGCGTCCTCGGTACAGATACTGCCACAAAGGTCGGTTCCATCCAAGAACTGAGAAAGCAGAGCCGCATTGATACCGGCAAGTCTCCATATTCGCCGCCGGTTTCTGGCCTGCGCAAAGTCGGAGCCGGAGGTATCGCTCAAAGCATGCTTCAGCGTAAAGTAAGCGTCACGCCAGTTGAGATCACCCGTCGAGTTCGCGGGCCAAGCAAATCCCATCTCGCCATCTGCCAGAAACCTGGTGCGCCAGAAGAACTGAGGCAGCGATGACGGATCAGTCGCGGATGCAAGGCTTCTTGACGCCAATCGCAACTGCTGGATGTCGGGTGAAGGGAGGACGGACACAATCATATGTAGAACCTCGACTGGAAGTGAGGAGAATATGTCATCGCGCGGAGACGGCCTCCAGGCTCTATGCGTGGATCGTTGAGGGCAGAATTGAATGTCCGGGGTAGCAAGCGATAGAATCTCTAGCAGATTGCGGAACTGTGAAGGACAAGCCGAGAGATAATCAAATCCTTGATCGATCATATCGTGAATCACAGCCCCCATCGGCTTTTGAAATTGGGCTGCGCCACCGAAGTCATGACCAGGACGAAGGTATCGATGCTTCCCCCGTGTGGTACAAAACAGCATCTGGAATAGAAGAGTGGAAAACTTGGTGAGGTCGGATCTGCCCTCCGGGACTCTCTGCAGTAGAATCTGCCAGCATAATTCATGCACGTCGAAAGACCAGGTACCTGATGCCGGGTCGCGGAATCGGATGTACGACATCAGGCTGCCAACCCCGTCGTCGCTGAAACAGCAATCATGGTGCGAGGGGGCATGCATTCGATTGGAATGATTGACATATCCTACGCCGCTCACAGTGGCAGATTGGGTGACTAGCCATGTACCATCTGATGTATCATCGCGAAGCTGGATCACACGGAGCTGCCGGTACCATTCCAGATCGGTTGGCACGGTGCCAGGCATGACCAAGGTACGGGCAATCAGAATGCCACATATTGAACAGTAGTGATTTGGGATTGTTCGAGTCATAGAGTATTATAAAGGGATGGATGGATGAATAAATGGATGAAGAGATGAAGAGATGAAGAGATGGATGAGAGGAGGTGGAAACAAGGGACAAGGCAAGGCTGAGAGAAGTACTGTAAGGTCATGTGATCCCCCTCATTTATATTACCCTTATATGTGTCGAACATCAGAGATGGTGGCCCCGACTTGCGTCCCAATCACTATCACGCATGCAATGGCTAAAGATAGCTTGAATAAGCGCGCGCGAAGATACCCTTTTACGCACACCATCCCAACCATTGGGTGCAGTTGTTCGTGACTGCACCTGAGCCAAGCCAGCAATAGTCATAGGGCTTTTGTACGCAAGCCTGTGTGGAAAATGTGCATGGCTAAGAATAGCAGCAGGCGTGTAGCAGACCCCATATTAAAGCTTAGGCTTTCCCCGTAGTCACTCCAGCATTTAGACTCTTTCTGATCAGTGGATGTATCCATCTCAACCATTATACCACACATTTCAGGCATGGCGGACTCTAATGTAACCTACCTGTATAGACTACCCTACAGTCTTGGTGATGATAATCAAGTCCCGTGAGCAGGGTACGGATGTAAGTTTTGATAAGGGGCAGTGGCGTCCTCCCGTCAGCGAAGCGCTGCTGATACATGGATAGAGGCTCCCTCAGAGGCGGATACACAAGACAGGAGTGAGACCCTTCCGGGCCTTGGACTTCGAAGGAGTTTAGCAATTGTGCGGATTAGTGAGCAACCGCGATGCGAGGGGTCTGCGGTGGAAATGTGCTCTTCAACCTCGTGCTCATGGCCAGCATAGCGCGCATTGTTATTGGCAATCTTCAATGCCACCACAGTCTCCGGTTCTTCGACATCACTATATAGTGTGTTAGAAACGGAGGGGGGGGTTCCAATCACAACCGAAAGCACTGAAGATTAGCTACCTTTGCAGATCATGAGCGAGCCATACTGTTAAAGAAACGCCCTAGCCAAATTTGACTAACGTTTGATAGCCATCATTGAGTGTCTCTCCTGGCTTGGCTGGATAGAAGTGGTTGGGATTGTAGAATGGCGAGATCTCTTCATCAATGAGTATGCCGGGCGGTAAAGGTGGCCCAGAAGAAGCAATGGAAACCAGTTTCGTGCGCAGTAAGGGAGCAAAGTGAGATAGAGACAACCTTAAAGAGCACATTACAAAGAGACTTCACTTCCACTTATAAGGGAATGTGATGTGCATGGTTGTGGAAGGAGAGAAGCTCCAGGCGCCTAAGCAAGACTGGCACCCATGATCACGTGTGATATGGTCACATGACATGTCCGTCCCCCTGTTGCGTGGCGGCCAAGGAAGATATACTCATAACGGTTCCTCCGTAGTTTGTACTTCTCGTTCTTTCCCTCCTCTACATGGAGGCGCTCCCTACCGTGCAGCCGATATGCAGATTCTTTGGATGTGATCCCTGGCGATAAGAGAAGAAAGACTAGACTTACCGTTGCGATTGCGACCGATCAGTTTCTGACATCACACCGGAGCAATCTATTCTCTGGAATTGACATTGTCTTGAGCTACGATATGTTGCGACAGAAAACCCCAAATCCGTTGTGATATGCACTGTCCTCAGGTACCTACCTAACTCAGTGCAGTACACTAACTACTCGTCAGGTGTATTGAGGTAGTTAAACCGGGAAGAAGGAAGAAGGAAGATGATAGGTCGATTCGGCGATAAGGCCTCGGGATAGATAAGCGTGGGCGAGACTAAACCATGTTGGGAACACCGCTCATAGCCGGGCCTCGGAACTTGGCCTGTCTGTTGTACATGTACATGTACTACCTTAGTGCATGTACCTGGGTCATCACCTTTGCAACGGAGGTATCCCTCACTATTAAGGTATTCGGTTGGTAATGAATTACTGCAGGACATATGGGAGATATATGAGAATCATGACAGCGGGATAACCCTTTCCTGAGCAAGTAGCATTGCGGGGCGCAGCAAGCTATATAGTCACGACATGCACCCTAGACTCAATTGCCCCATAAATGTCCGTACTACAAGGAAAATCTACATATCACGAGGATATCAGAAGTTACCAACTCGAGTGCTATAATTAAACCACAGTGGAATTACTCATGTATTCTACCCAAGTATTGAAGTACGCCGAAGCGATGGGCAGGTCGGCTCTACCCGGCACTTGCCACCACGGCTGCTTCCGACCGGATAGCCCCGAGCCCAGCATCTCCCTCTTTCCCCTTGCCCTGTCCAGAGTTGTATTGGTGTCAGCTACTACCTAATACACTGTACGAAGCAGGGATAATAGGATCATAGAGACCAGGTTTCGAGAAACCGTGTGCAGTGGCTTAATAAGATTCATGATTGGCCTGAGATTTGCATCTGGGATACACAATGGCTGATGCGCGGGCTGGTCTCCGAAAGCCTTGCGCGGCGATCGGGTCAGGCGAGGCATCTTGATTGCCTGCCTGGCTGAGGATGGGTGAAGCTCTCATCCCTGGGCTGGGTATAACCCAAGGTCAATGGGAGGTCTAGGCCCGCCGGTGGTTCGTCGCGACTTCGACCAGTCCCATTCAAAGTTCAATTACCCGGTCGCAAGTTTGGTTCCGACTCACCAAACGAAAACCTAGTCGAGGGATGTGCGTCCGCCGAGGTAGCTGGCTGCTGTCCTCGAAAGTGTCGAACGTCTACATGCCCTAGATACATGCCCTAGACGGCATGGATTGGGAGCCGTGGCGGAAACCCCGTCCCTCTGGCCGTACAATGACCTTATTCTCGCGCTGGATGCCATACGGATTATGGTTTTCCGAATCGAGCCCTGAGCCGGTGCGCTGAATCAAAACAGCGGTCAGATTTCGGATTCGTGAGACAGTATCAAATGCAGCCTACGAGCTCCGTCCAGGATTGGCCTTTCCACTCTCGATCACCGTCACCGTCTCCTGGATGATCACCTGCCCCTTGCCGGCCGCGCGACCGGCATGTTTCGCGTTCTGCGGCGACAGCAAGTCCTCTGAGGAGCTGTCGTTCCCCGTGCGTGGCCCGCCCAACGAGGTTGACTCCGGAGTCGCGATCGCCCCCTTGCCCGTTTGCACGTCGACATGATACGACCCGGCCGCGGCCGCTGCCTGACCCAGGCTATTCAACTCCACATGCCCCTCCCAGGTGCGACCGTAGCCGCGGTGGAACCGACTGGATCGCTTGTTGGACGAGGTGGCGCCGCCGGAGGAGGAGGCCTTGAGGTGGTTGAAGTAAGAGCCGAAGAGCGACTTCAAGGCAGGGATGGACAGGGCAATCAGCGTGCTTCCGATCTCGGAGGTCTCGACCGCCAGCATCGGATCGTAGGCCCAGCTGCCGTCCGACGACCATTGGCCCACCGCCACCAGGTAGATGCGCGCGCAGGAGATGGCCAGGACTCTGTTGGAAATGTCTGGTCAGTTTGGGGACAGGAAAAAACCAACAAAAAACAATAGTGAATGTCGAGGAACTCACAAAACACCCGGGAACATGATCAAGGACAACTGGAATTTCCGTTGTCGCGACACATGCAGCATGTAGATCAACATGGACGGCAAAACCAACATGATCAGATCGCAGACTAACGACAACCCCGAATTGACGGAGTAGACGTCGCCCCAGCTCAGACACTTGAACTGGCTCGCCCCATCCTGCCATTCATATGGCCAGAGCCCCGTGACCGGTAAGCAGTGGAACAGCAGCAGGAAGAACTGGGTCAGGAAGGCGAGCACGAGGAAGATGGAAGCGAGCTTGATGGTGAGAGAGAGTTTGTCGTGTCGCGCCGCCAGCCGATGGTAGAATGCCAACCCGGACAGGCGGCAGATGAACAGTGCGGTCGTATACAGGATGTGCATGACGAAGTCCAGGACCTCGGTCTCCTTGACCCGGGACAACGAGAGGACGTACTCGATGTACTCGATGTGACGGCCGCTGCCCAGGCCGATGAGCACCATGGACAGCACGACCACGGTGATGTACAGCAGCTGCCAGCAGTCAGTTCAGTTCGTGTGGGCTTTTCCGACCCGTGACCGCGGAGAGCATTACCAGCGTGAAGACGGCCAGGGAGTCGTCCATGCCAAAGCGCTTGAGAAAGAAGATCCGAGCATAGCATCTCGCGATGACCACGAGCGTGGTCAAGGCGCAGACGAAGATGATGGCGATCTTGGCCGGGCGATCGCGCGACTGTGCGAGGTATTCCAAGCTGATCCCCGCGGGGATGCGACCCGCAGCATCGGCCGCTTCAATGGCCGCTGGGATGTTGGCCATATTGCTGCAGGCAGGCCGGCTTGCCAGGGACCACCGGAGTTGCGTGGATGGAGTCGTTGTTTTCCGTCAGTCAGGATGGGGAGGGAAGGGGGGGGGGGAGGGGAGGAGAGAGAGAAAAAAGATGAAGTAAAGAAGTGATGGGCAGATTGGGCCAGATCTTGCTTGCTCGGACGAACCAGAATTTTTGCCGGAGATGAGCACCTTGGGTTCACCTTGGGTTCTCCCTGAACTGAACTGCGAACCATGGTCTGATGGGCGTGTCCACCGGGGAGGCAAACTAGTCATCCTGGGAACGATAAAAGTGCATTAGCCTAGGGCTAGACTAGTCTACTGTGTATAGTATAGTATAGACTAGACGAGCAGCAGCTGCAGCACACTATCAACTAGTTTCTCACTAGCCGATCCTGCCATGTGGGAAAAAAGCCGACCGGACCATCAGACCAGGTTCTTGGGTTTCTTCACGGCCGTGGTGGTGGTTTTTGATGACAAAAAAATTGATTTTTTCTTCTTTTTCTTCTTTTCTTTTCCTTTTCTTTTTTCTTTTCTTTTTTTTTTTTCTATTGTCATGGCGCATTCTCTTTCTGGATGACGTGCCCGGGAGCGCGACAGACGATCGGTTACCTTAAACGCGATAAACGAGTAGCCCTGGCAGGACACGGACGAGGGCACCCATGGAACGGTTTTCCCTTGCTGCCTTTTCAAATGGACCGCAGTGGAGCATAGCGCTTCAACTGGGTTAGTGCGGGGTGTGGAGTCGGAATTACGTGTTTTACGTGGATATTACTCTTTCGGATCTCGTCGGCTACATACAGCCTGGAGGGCAGCCGTGAATTAATCTAAAAGTATCCGTACGGCGTCTTCTAAGGGGGACACTTATTATATTTTGTCATGACCAAGTCATTAGTCCTTTTCATTCGACTCCGTACTCGTACTGTACTGAGTCCACTGACTGACTGACCGTGCCGAAGATCCGCCGTTGTCGCGCGACAGCACAATCAAGCTTCGGCCGATGCTCCACCGGTGGCCTCATCGGCTACTGACTCGCTGAGGGAGGGAGATTAATTGTCTCATGTCCGGAAAGTATAAATGATTAATTGGACCCAAGAGGGAATTTGTTTCCCCCCCTTACATTCTGCATCTCATCTCCCCCCCCCGATCCCCGATCGTCGGTCGCCGTTGCGGTCGCCGCCCCATCCATCGACGATTTCCTCATTTATTTCACACCTCCCCTCCCACGTCATAGTCATAGCGATCTGCACTTTCCCCCTGCTCCCCGAAAATGCCTTCCATCGCTTCGCGGCTCCTAGCCGTCGGCTTGGCCGTGGTGGCGGCCGCCTCCTCGGCGCAGAATGATAGCCTGGTCACCCAGCAGCTGGATCTGCAGCCCTATCCCTACGACTTCCCCAAGCTGGGCACCAATGGCTCCGATCTCTTCCCCATGCGACTTTGCCATGGCTTCAAGCTTGAGGAGGCCAGCATCGATGAGATCCAGGCCGAGCTGGAAGCCAAGAACTTCACGGGGGTGCAGCTGCTGCAGTGTTACCTTGAGCGCATCTACCAGGTCCAGCCGTATGTCAAGTGAGTAGTTCCAGAATGAATCCAAGCATGGGAGGGGTTAGGGCTAAATAGTGGGATGTGCAGTGCGGTCATGCAGCTGAACCCCGATGCGGTGACCATCGCCGAGGCGCTGGACGCGGAGCGGCAGGCGGGCACCGTGCGCGGTCCCTTGCACGGAATCCCCTTCTTGGTGAAGGACAACATCGCCAGTAAGGACAAGATGGAGACTACGGCGGGTAGTTGGGCCCTCGTGGGCTCCGTCGTGCCTCGCGACTCGCACGTGGTGCACCGTCTGCGCGAGGCCGGTGCGGTCCTGCTGGGCAAGGCGACGCTGAGCGAGTGGGCGGACATGCGCTCCAATGACTACTCGGAGGGGTACTCGGGCCGCGGTGGCCAGTGTCGCAACGCGTATAACTTCACCGTCAACCCTGGCGGTAGCAGTTCCGGCTCCGGAGTGTCCATCTCCACCAACCAGGTGCCCTTCGCGTTGGGTACGGAGACCGATGGCAGTGGTACGTGGTGGATCACAACCCGACGATAGGGTTGGTCGCTAATATGCAGTGTATACAGTCATCAACCCGGCGGAGCGCAACAACATCGTGGGGATCAAGCCCACCGTCGGCCTCACCTCGCGTGCGGGCGTGATCCCCGAGTCCCTGCACCAGGACACGGTTGGTACCTTCGGTAAGACCGTGCGCGACGCCACTTACGCCCTGGACGCCATCTACGGCGTCGATCCTCGCGACAACCAGACCGCCGCGCAAAAGGGCAAGACCCCCACTGGCGGCTACGCCCAGTTCCTGACGGACAAGTCCGCCCTGAAGGGCGCCGTGTTCGGTCTGCCGTGGATGTCGTTCTGGCAGTACAACGATGCCGCCCAGAACGCCCAGCTGATGGAGCTGCTGGCGCTGATCGAGTCGGCGGGCGCGACCATCATCAACGGCACCGAGCTGCCCCACTACAAGGAGATCGTCGACCCGGAGGGCTGGAACTGGGACTACGGCACCTCCCGGGGCTACCCGAACCAGTCCGAGTACTCCTACGTCAAGGTCGACTTCTACAACAACATCAAGGATTATCTCGCGGAGCTGAACAACACCAACATCCGTTCGCTGGAGGACATCGTCCAGTACAACATCGATAACGCCGGTAGCGAGGGTGGTGTTCCCGGGGTGAACCCGGCCTTTGCCTCCGGACAGGATGGCTTCCTGGCGTCGCTGGCGACCAAGGGGGTGATGAACGAGACCTACTGGCAGGCGCTGGCGTACTGTCAACGCACCAGTCGCGAGGAGGGCATCGATGCGGCGCTGCGCTACCAGGGCCGCAACATCACTGCTCTCCTGGCCCCGCCGGACTTTGCCCCCTCCGTCGAAATCGCCGCCCAGGCGGGTTACCCCGTGGTCACCCTGCCCGCCGGTATCAACGAGGACTCGCACATGCCCTACGGATTGGCCTTGTTTGGGACCGCCTTCTCCGAGGCCACGCTCATCAAGTACGCCAGTGCCATCGAGGATCTGCAGCTGTCCTCCCAGACTCCCTGGAAGCGCAGCCTGCCCACCTGGAGCGGGTATCTGGAGCGCAACATCCCTGTGAACTGAGGGTCCGCCGGAGCTGTGAAGGAGCAGGAGGGATGTGTACATATGCGGTGTCTCGATAGACTTAGAATAGTAATAGATCTCCGTCGCTGTGACTGTATCTGTGTCTGGTGTGTTGTCTTGATGAGCTGGTCAAGCGGACAGTGCGGACGGGATAAGTGGGAATCTGTGCTGGTAGACTAACAGGTCAGTGATTATACTGTCTTGTTGCGTCGGGACAGTGCTATGCTTACTGGCTCGAACTAGAATCATTGGTCGAATCTGGAGGTTTCTCTCCGATGTGTTATCTTGGGGAGATGGGACCGTGACAGGCTTAAGTGGTGCAGTGGTTCAGTGCAGACTCACTGCTTCAACTTCCACCATGTACGCAGTCCTACCCATCTCTATCATTCGTTGAAAGGATTGAGACTCGAGAAATCTGTCTGGCGCCGGAGGCAAGGTAGGGCTGCACAAGCGAGGCGGGAACGCCGACCCTAAGGCAACCCAGCCAACCAGTCAAGGCAGGATATCCACTGAACGATCATCGGGTCGGGGGTCTCGTTCGGTCTGAGTGAACTTGCCACGGGTGGGAGTTAGCACAAGGCAATCAAGGTTATTTCTCGTTATTGCTGACCCATGTGAGCATTGAGACTCGAGACACTCCGTGTTCATGGATCACACCCAAGGGGAGGGGGGGAGGGGGGAACAACCATGCTGGAAGGAGGCAACAGTGCAGGATGCCTGCCGCTAACCTGGGAGGTGGTTTCCCCCGAGCTGTGGATGGGGGGTCTGGCCACTAGTGCAGGGCAACAGCACCTGCATGCAGTGGCAAGGCAGTGCCGTGAACTGTCGCCCACGCGGAGCAGCGACGGCCGAATGCACGATGGTCATCGCCACGCCCGGAACTCAGCTCCATCGTCATGCATGAACGTCTCACCTGGAGGCAACCGCCGGAGACCAGTTTAGATTGGACAGAGGAACTTGGAAAGGCACGTGCACCACAGGAGGAGGTGGTGGTGAGGTACCGTGGAGAGAAAGGGCTGGGCACAGCCAGGAGGGATCCTGGTTGTGATACGAAGCGATAAGCCGTATACTCGAACATGGAGACACACGCATTGATGATTGGCCTTCTCCCCGGATTTGAATCGACCCCACGTGGACTCTTCAAAAGCTGTGATTGGCTAGAATGCTCCGCCGGGCGCCAAGCGCTGCCAAGCCAGCCCCCCGAGCACCGCCAAGACCCGTGCCAAGTGAATCTCTGGGGGGCTTCAACCAGTCCAACCAGTTCAACCAGGGTCAACCGTGGATGCAAAGCAACCCTCGACCGCAGCTTAATCTCCTGCTCGAATCAGCGTTGGCCAGCCAGGAACGTGCGGGAGGGAACACGCCACTGTCAGATGCCACTCTGCCCGAGTCTACTACTGTACTCTACTCTACGCCACTCAATTCATCACCACCTCCACCTCCACCACCACCACCACCACCAACATCCCATCCCATCCCGGTAAGCCCATCCTCAGCCTGACGAGCCCAGTCAGTCAGCCATTTCAGCCATGGCTACTACTACTACATAAGACTCCCCTCTCCTGCCCCTTCTCCCTCCTGCTTCTTACCTTCCTTCCCCTCTTCACGCCTCTTCCTTCCTGCAGCAGCCGCCCTCTCCTCCCCTCACGCGACATCATCCCCAGCTTCTCCCCAGCCACGATGACGCTGCATCAATATGATTACATCTTTGCCATCGGCACTCTGTTTGCCATGCTGGATGCCTACAACAACGGTGCCAGTAAGTCCCCGGAAATCCGGTCTGTGTTCCGATGTCCCACATCGCTGACCCCGCTCGTTCTTACCCTGCAGACGATGTTGCCAACTCCTGGGCCACGAGTGTCTCCTCCCGCTCCGTCTCCTACCGTCAGGCCATGATCTTCGGTACCGTCTTCGAGATGCTGGGCGCCATCTGTGTTGGAGCTCGCACCGCCGATACCATCAAGAACGGAATCATCCCCAACTCGGCCTTTCAGGGCAACGCGGGGGTGCAGATGATGGCTTTCACCTGTGCCCTGGCCGCTGCGTCCTCTTGGGTGATGTGGTGCACGCGACACTCCGCCCACGTCTCCTCCACCTACTCGCTCATCTCTGCGGTCGCCGGTGTCGGGGTCGCCACGGTCGGCGCCTCCCAGGTACAATGGGGATGGAACGACGGCAAGGGAATGGGCGCCATCCTGGCGGGTCTGGGCATGGCCCCCATCATCTCCGGCTGCTTCGGCTCCATCATCTTCATGCTCATCAAGGTCGTCGTGCACATGCGCAAGAACCCCGTCCCCTGGTCGGTCTACACCTCGCCCCTTTGGTTCCTGATTGCCGCCACCGTCTGCACCCTCTCCATCGTCTACAAGGGCTCGCCCAGTCTGGGTCTGAGCAAGAAGCCCGGATGGTACATTGCGGCGGTGACCATGGGCACTGGGGCCGGGGTCGCAGTGCTGTCGGCCATCTTCTTCCTCCCCTTTGTCCACGCCCGCGTCATCAAGAAGGACCCTAACGTCAAGTGGTGGATGTTCGTCTACGGGCCTCTGCTCCTGCAGCGGCCCGCCAACCCCAACGCCGAGTCCGCCAAGGTCCCCAACTACGCGGTCATCCAGGAGGATGAGTTCCCCTCCCCGCCCGGCTCACCCGAGACGCTCAAGGGCGCGGACGCCGACGTGGACGCCGTCCACAAGGCCTCCACGAGCGGTGAGAAGGAGCTCGTCGCCTCCGAAGCCCAGCAGCTCACCTACAAGGAGCTTATGGCGCAGTCCGATGGCCGTCTCCGCGCCCGCCTGCTGCAGAAACGCGGCCCCCTCGGCTGGGCGATGCGCACCCTCCGCGACAACCCGATGGGTCCGGGTCAACTCTACGAGTTCCGCAACATGGCCATTCTCGCCAAGCGCATCCCCGCCATGATCGTCTGCGGACTGCTGTACGGCATGCACTACGACATCCACGCCGCGCAGAGCGGGATCCACGGCACCCCTGAGGGCGACCGTATGCAACGGGTCTACGCGCACGCGACCAAGTACCCCAACGAGGTCGAGCACACCTACTCCTTCGTCCAGGTCCTGACGGCCTGCACGGCCAGTTTCGCTCACGGCGCCAACGACATCGGTAACTCCGTCGGGCCCTGGGCCGTCATTTACTCCGCCTGGAGCACCGGCAGTGCCGCCCAGGCCAAGGCTCCGGTTCCGGTGTGGCAGCTGGCCGTGCTCTCGGCGTGTATCTCCATCGGCTTGATTACCTACGGGTATAACATCATGAAGGGTGAGTTCTACCTCTTGACCAGTTGATCCCTTCTCCTATGTGCAGGACTAATGAACTGGGTAATAGTCATGGGCAACAAAATCACCTATCACTCCCCCAGCCGCGGCTGCTCGATGGAACTCGGCGCCGCCCTGACCGTCCTCGTCTTTTCGCAGTACTCTCTGCCCGTCTCGACCTCCATGTGCATCACAGGGGCTACCGTCGGCGTCGGACTGTGCAACGGCACGTGGCGCGCGGTGAACTGGCAGCGGGTCGGACTGTTGTTGACCGCGTGGATCTTGACCTTGCCCATTGCGGGAACGCTGGGTGGGTGTCTGATGGGGTTGTTCATCAATGCGCCACATTTTGCTTCTTAGTTGGCACGGTCGGGGTGACGGGGGGCGTGTAATTAGACCTTTTCTTTTGTGTGATGCCCGGTGGCTGAGATGGCTGCCATGTTCTTCTGGGGGGTAATGTACATTTTAGTGATGCAAAAATGGGTTTCTTCGGGGTTCATCTGGTGTAGGATGCATTTGGTCGGTTGCTTGTGTCTGTAGACTCACTGAGAGCTTACCGGTATTGTAGTGTTTTTACGTACGTTCAAGCGAGAAGAATCCGTGGATGTCAGCACATGTTTCCCGTCACGTGCTCCATTACCGACAACGCTTTAGTGAATGCTTACAGCCCTTCCTTAACTTGCTTCACTGCTTCGTGATATCGTTTTCTTTTCCAAGCTTTATCCCTAGCGATCAAGAGATCCATGATCATGGATGGCCAACTTGGAAGCTTAGCTCTTGTTTAGCGTGTCCCCGCCCCAAACAACCGATTGGATACGATGGCCTCAACCCCCCCCCCCCCACCGACCAGCCGCTGCAAGCGCTTGCATCCACCCTTAGACTCCCTTAGATTCCCTTAAATTCCCTTATAACTCCAAGTATCTCCAATCCACTGACCGTGGTCTGTCTGCTTCCTGCACATACCGCAGGATCAAGGGCCTCAGAATGCATCGGAGTTTCCCATCGGATCTGCTGACCTGGCTGCATGCCAACCTACCAGCCTCACTGTCTACTTTGACATGCATCTGCCTCGCCAGCTTTGTTCTCGTAGCTGTCAAACGGCGCTATCTCACCTCACTACGGGACATTCCCGGGCCATGGCTTGCCTCCGTGTCCAGCCTGTGGCAGGTCTACCAGCTCGTCAAGGGCCACACTGAACAGGAAATGATTCGATTACATCGGAACCATGGTAGGATTCACTAACACAAAAGGATCATTCACGCATCCAGATCTAACATTTGTGCAGGTCACTTTGTCCGAATTTCCGAGAAGGAAGTTAGCGTCTGTCATCCCGATGCCATACGGGCACTACTCCAAGCACATATTGCCAAGGTACGATCCACCCCCATTGCATGGGGTCCATTATTGTGCTCCTTGCGTTCATAACCCGGCTCTCACAAAAAAAAAACGCTTAGGGCTCCTGGTATTCGATCTTCAGTCTGCCCGACTATCACTACGTCAACCAGATGTCCGAGCTGGACCCCCAGCGCCACATCCACAAGTCACGAAACATAGCAGCAGGCTACGCGTTGTCGAATATCATCAAGTCCGAGCCCCAGGTGGACGCCCTCCTCGCCCGCCTGGAAGAGCAGTTGGACCGGCTGATCGCCTCCAGGCAGCCCGTCGAGTTCGACCGGTGGTTCAACTACTTTGCCTTCGACGTGGTGGGCGAGGTGACCTTCTCCAGTCCGTTCGACTTCCTGGCCACAGGCACCGACATCCGCCACGCCATCGCCAACAGCCGCGCATTGGCGCTCTACATCGCCATCATGGGCCATTACGTCTGGCTGCACAACCTCACGCTAGGCAATCCGCTGCTTAGCCGTTTAGGCTTGCAACCCACTTCCCATATCTTTGACACCTGTCTGGCGGCGATCGACCACCGACAACGCCAGAGCCAGGCGAAGACTCCTGCTACTGCGACAACTTCCGCGGCTCCTGCACGCCTCGACATGATGGAGCGGTGGCTGACCACACGCCAGCAGCACCCAGAACGAATGGCCGAGTCGGAGATTGTGGGTGCCTGCGTAGCCAATGTCGGCGCCGGCGCAGACACCACCAGTGCCACCCTGCAGGCGTTTGTCTACCACCTGATCCGTCATCCGCAGTACTTGGCCAAGCTGCGCCAGGAGCTTGACGAGGCGCAGGCGCGCGGCGAGCTGAGTCCCATCGTCTCGTACGCGGAGGCTACCAAGCTGCCATATCTCCAGGCTTGTGTAAGTTTGCCCCCTGGAACCGCCGTATATGAGTAGAATCTTGACCCTCGCAATCCAGATTCGGGAAACATATCGCTACCATCCAGCCACCGGGACCGGACTTCCCCGGGTCGTCCCTGCGGGTGGGATTACCATCGCGGACAGGCATTTCAGTGAGGGGGTATGTGCAGTACACTATAGTTCCTTCTAATCACCGCCTTTACCCTTTGTAAATCAAGAGGGGCTAATGGTAGAGACTGTCTAGACCGTCTTGAGCATCAACCCGTGGGTGTACCACCGCAACGCCGGTTTCTTCGGGCCAGACTGCGATGAATTCAACCCCGAGCGGTGGCTGGATGCGGATCGGGCGAAGCAAATGGATCCATTTCTGATTCACGTAAGTGTTGTCATTACTCTGCCTACTTCTGAATGCAAAGATACCTGGGGAACACAGGATCCGATTTACTAATCTTCATCCTTCGGTCAGTGGAGCGCAGGTTACAACCAATGCCCCGGACGCAACCTCGCGCACTTCGAGATTTCCAAGGTCGCGGCCTGTCTCATCCGGGACTATGAGATCACGCCGGTCGATGCGGATGCGCCGTGGCAGTTTGAGACCCATTTTACCGCGGTGCCGTATGGCTGGCCATGTTGGTTGCGGCGGAGAGCTGTTGGGTTGGGGGGGGTGACGGGGTTTAGTATAGCTAGCCCATCATCATATGCTTCTACGAGAGGTGTCACCACTGTGACGAGCTACCATGACATGGTGGAAAAAGAGCGCGGGGCATACGATGGCTTCTGATTCAATATCGATGGCCGGGCTCAACTGGGTCGTACTGTAGGATCGAGATTGTGATTCAAATGCATTGCCTAAGTACCAACGTCAAGCTCCTAACCAACAGTGCGCCTTTCGCCCAGTTGTTTCGTCGACAGTCTGGCCAGAAAGAAAAGCAATCCAAATGGTCAGTACTGGAGGAGAGAGGAAGGGGAGATTGTCTGTGACGGGGTGGGCTATCATGGGACTCAATCACCTGCCCTGCATCCCCAACCTCCACATGCAATAGATGTACGCGCAGATGCTCAGGCACTGCGTGACGAAGCGCAGCGGACCCAGAAACAGCAAGAGAGCCATACCGAGTACGAAGAATGCACTCAGGCACAGACCCATAGCCATGACATTCCGCGAGATGTATACTCCTTCTCCGGAAGCTTCGCAGATGGTCTGGGTACGTGGTCGTGCTGGGTACCTGGTGGAAACCTCGTCCATGAGCTTCCGAAGATAAATTGGTGGCAAATTTCTTCCTGCCAACTCCAAAGCTTCAGCGTAGGCCGGCAACAAGATGGAGCCGACTGGGGAGACGGGGAATCCTCCCAATGCTTGGTGGTAGGTCTCGAGTGGTCTCAGTCTCAGATCATAGGCGGCATGGGCCTGGTTGGAACTTCCGCTGGGCGTCCGCCGAGAAGTGTCCTCGAAGTCCAGAAGGGAATCGTTCTTCTCATTGTCCTGGGAGATCATACGGAGCATGGAATGGAAGCTGAAGCTGAACGTTCTCCCGTCTCTCTGATAGATCCAGTTGTCGCGTTCTCCTTTGACGAGAGGAGAGCCTTGCTGTTCGAGACGTTTGAAGATCGGCTTCCGGGCTGCCGGAGATTCAATACCAACATCAATGTACTAGCGGTTCGCATCTGCAGGGAACAGAACAGGAACGGGTTGCGTGTGCCTATTTACCCGGATACCATCCTTCTCACGGTAACAGGAGAGAATACCGCCGAGGATGGTGACTTTGATAGGTGCGCAGTTGGAGTCCCCTCGGAGCCATTCGAACAGCTCAATCACCACCGGCCCGACGATGTCTGCGTCGACCTGGTACGGAGCAGGTAGAGATAGATGTCTGATGCCAGCGTGAACCAGGCGATCGCCAAATTCGATAAACCATCAAGCCAAGTTGCTCAATGTCAAGGCTATCACGAGCATGCCTTGAAGTAGGGTGCCTGCCATCTTTTACTGCTCTGAGCGCTAACGCCAAAGTATTGAGAATGTGTTGGGGCTGGGAGGGTGATGAAAATTCGGTGAAAAGGTCAGACTACTTTACTTCGGAGTAAAGGCAAATGGCCTCGAAATTATAGCCGGGAGGAAGACTAGCAAATATCTATCCGAGAGGCCTTGGGGTCGAACGCTGAGAGTGAAGAGCATCAGAGCATCAGAGCATCTATATGCCGGGCCTGTCAGCTGTGACATGAAGCCCTGAAACCTAGCCGATGAGAGCTCCGCCCGCTCCTTCAATGCCACATCCATTGTATATCCCTCTGTAGCCTGTGTTTGTGATGATCACGCAACTGCGATGATCGTCGGTAATAATTCCAAAAAAAAAAAATTGCGTGAAGCTGTGTTATATTGTATAATCCCTACTTCTTGGGAGGATAACTAACAGAAACGGTGCCCGGAGTGCGAGCAGCTAACCGGACACATCTGGTAGTCAGTATAGCATCTCGCCGTCGGGATCCAATTCGAGATTATTTTCATCTACCCAGCCAACAGGCCCATCATCATCCAGAGAAATACCCAGTTGCGTGAGCTTCCGAGAAATAATGCAAGCTTGGTCACCCTCATTTGGTGCTTTTAGCGGTGCACCCAAAAAGCCCATGCGCTTGTACTCCAGATAGAGGCGGCCAAAAGCTTCCTTCAGTTCGCGCTTTTTCTTCGTCGACTGGCGACCAGTACGCTCGTGCAGTGTCACCCAGTCTTGAATAGAAGGCGAGATCTCCGATATGAAATTAGAGGGATCCCATTCCAGGTGCATGGGCGAGGGCCCAACGGAGAATTCGAAGGCATACTTCATCAGCACCTCGAACTGGTACCTCCACCAACGACCCGCCCGGTACCCAAGGTCACGCAGCATCAAGAACACGAGGTTCTCGAGGCATTTATCATATCGCAGCATTTTGACCGGGTACCTACCCGGGTCTTGGCGCCCACGGCAGTTCAAGTGGGCATAGGGGGTGTCCCGATACCCACGGTTCTTAGAGCTATGAAGGGCCGAGAACCGGAGGTAATCACTGGAGGTGGAAATGTAGCTGCCACTGTCGTAGCCATAGTGGGTTGCCTGCTCCAATGGGACCAGAGGCCCAGCAGGTGGGAGTGGAATTGCAGGAGAGTGCACGTCGGACATGCGGTAAAGGAACATCCGCCCCGTCTGACTCTCAAAGTCGCCACATACCGTTGGATAACGCTCGTCTGTATGGAAATGATACGCTGGAAGAGGGATATACCGCTCGTCCTGCGCCTCCACGTTGTCTGCATAGCAATAGCGCCGCTCAGGGTCCTTGCAGGGGTAGAATCTGCCCGTCGCAGCAAGAATCTCGGCTGCCAGGTCGATATAGGCATCCTCGACAGCCCATGCTGTGCAAAAGCATTCGATGGGCGCGCCCATGATGGACAAGGCTTGATCCCCGGTCAGGTAGGTGCGAATCTTGTTCGAATCGAACAGCCATTGCACCCAGGACTCGGCACCGCCATTGCCTTTGGAGAAGGGAAACCTTGGCGGGGGTGGTGGGGGGCTGGATTGGTCGTAGTACATCGTGTCGTGGTCTCGATGGTAGGGGAATCAGAATGTGAGTTGTAGTGGTTGCTGACTCTGGCGATGTTAATGTCTCAGATCAGGGTGGCACAAACCCCCTTTATATATAGACCAAACGGGTCTCAGAGACCAGGGAGGCTAAGGCATTGTCACTTGATGATAAAAGAGATTTGGATGGGCCATGCATTGTTATGATATGCCTTTGTCGTGAAAATTGCCTATTCAGCACGAAATTCCCTTTCGAGGCAGTGACAACAATGTGCTATACTAGATGAGAACAAAGGGACCCCTTGGATACAGAAAGAGAGTGTGCCAAATGTGGCAAGCATCTGTCTCCGAGGACGCTCTTACGGTGTTCTACAAGGACACGTCGAGAAGCAAGGCATGGGAGACCATGCTTGCGACATCGCTGTGGAGGATGAGTTGCGATGGGCTGCGAAAAAAAGCTCGTGATTCGACTCGAAGTGTGTAAGTGTAACATCGGCCATATACTCCGCTGCAACAGGGTGAGAGTTGCGGCTGAGATGGGCGAATCCGATGGATAATGCTGGCTTTCGTCTTCACTAAGACCATAGTCCCACGGTTCCCTATAGTAGGCCAACATCAGCCGTCGATCCATGTCGCTCATATCATCGCACTTCATCACACCAATCTCATTTCACCCAGGATGAAGCTCATGTGCAAAATATGGGTCATCCGGGACGAGAGGGACGGGTGGTGTCTGGAGCAGGCACGTTTCGGTTGACAGCCACCCATGGAACACTTCTTGCGGTGCTCCACCTCGGGATCTAGAGGAATGGTTGTGTAAGCTTGGAAGGCAAATCCGGGATCAGGCATCACTTCATCTTCCTCACCGGGGTTGAGATGTCTGACTAGGTAGTTGGTTGCCGGCGTAATGATCGATTCTCTGGGCGCAGGCCTTCGTATTGCCACGAGGGACGGGCCATGTTGCCATGTGGTCTTTACTTGTTGGTAGTATCAATGAGGATATGGGATATGAATGTCAAGAATGGGGTGGTTTGATGGAGAAATGTGGCAGAAGAGAAGTCTGTGGGTAGGGGGGGAAAACTGGGGTTGTTGATGAGGATTGGATGAGTTTTACCGTATTAACGTATTGCGGTATTGCCGTCAGGCAGGCTGGTAAGTTAACACCGAGGATGCAAACAACAACCACCTGCACTGAGATGTTACCATTCACTCAGATTCCTTCCTCCTCCTCCTCCTCCTCCTCCTCCTCCTC